ACTTAAGACACATTCCTGCATGGATTTTACTGACAAACGATCAAAGGCTCGAAAAAAAAAAAAGTGAATTTGCGATCCCAAAGGACACTACAGAGCGGAGATGGAAGTCACCAACCTTTGGCAGCCATTTTCTCTCTTTACTTCTGACACACGGCAACCCCCCGCTTTTTTCTATCACAAATATCTCAACTTCTGTTCAAAATAGATGGGAATTTTCTTCAACTAAAGCAAGGCAAATGAACAGGCTTTAAGATTATATCAATAACTCCATATGCCCAAAAATTGATGAGCGCCCAATTCCATTAGGTCATGACACATATCGTTTCTCACACACATACACTTTCATTTCAGATGTGCTATATATATATATATAAATATATTGATAGATATACAGGGAATAAGTATTTAAAACTGCATTCAGACCACACTAAAAGAGTGACCGATCAAAATGAACATCTACACAACTTTCAGGATGGGCAAAGTTTGCACAACAGACCACACACGGCTCATCCTGACCCCTCACTTTCTCTCTCAACTTCTTTGACAACAGTTATAAGCTGAGGCATACATACCCTTTGACCGTGAGACAAAGGGAGAGAAATCTGTCTCAAGCGTTTTCTTTTATTGTCTGTGTTCACTCGATAGGATACCAGAGCCCAAAAAAACCAACACACAAAAATGTTAACAAGTTGCACAAAAGAAGATACCAACAACTCCTTAGTGTAATACTCCGCGTCATACGCCATTTTGAAAAGTGACGGATGACAAGAGTCAAGAGTCTTATACGGAGTGCCCAATGGAGGATCTGGTCGGGTCGGGTCGGGGTCGGTTTGCTGGACAGACTGAGGGCGCAAAGTGGCTATCGTGGCACAAGCCGACCGCGCCCGTCTCGTCGCCTAAAAAATAAACGCGTTTTGTTTTCAGGCTACGGGTCAATTGATCGACCCGACCTGACCCGACCCCATCCGCAATGGGCACCCGGTCTTTCACTGAGTATCTGACATGTCATAATGTCCCCAAAAATGACAAAATCCTACTTTGGTACAAACATTTCTGTATTGAGCAGCGAGTGAGTGGGTCACACAGCGCAGGTAGGAAATATCGTCACCCACTTATCGCCCACTTACTGTGGAAGTACTTCTCTCTCTGTCTACGTACGAGACAAACGGTAGATTCAATGCAAAGTGTTAAAAAAATGCAAGACCAGCACTTTAGCTTTGCCCAAACCATTTATATGTCTCTGGCCAGTTATGTGTCTCTGGCCAGACTTCCACAGTGGTATCTTAAAAATAGATCACTGACGTCGTGCTGTAGTCTCGCTTTCATTTTCTGGTGAGAAAAGTGTGCCAGGGGAACTATCAGCTTCCACAAAGCCAAAGACAAAAAAACCACACAAAAAAACAAAACGTGAAAACTAGAAAGTCGGCAAGTGTACGGAAAGTGGAACAAACAGGCCGCCGTTGATGGAGCAGAATGTATTTAACATTAAAGAATAGACTCTGCGGACCTGTCATTATCTTCAGGGTCCAGATTTTCTAAACCGTCATCCTAAAGCCAATGATATATAATAGACACATCTGACTGTCCAAAGTTCTCCGGAGTATAGCGGGGGAAAAAGTACGTTACATGTCATCCCCCTTCGACTGACTGGAAAACAGAAAACAAGTTATGTCATCACCATCACTCTTTTTCCACTTCAACAATACAGTGAAGTCTGCTTCAACCAAAACCCGCAGGACCACCGGATTTTCTTTGTTTAGTTCTGGACCACCGGATTTTCTTTGTTTAGTTCTGGACCACCGGATTTTCTTTGTTTAGTTCTGGACCACCG